GTAGGGCTCCATGAGGGGCTACCGCAAAAGAAGTCTTCCAAACACACACACACACACAAACACACACACACACACCGTCTCCATAAAAGGGTCGCCACGTTCGTGTGGGCCTCCACACAGAACCCAAGAATAAGGGTTTTTACTTGGTAGGGTCTCCACAGAAGGGCCGGACCCCCGAATACTCTCCGTAGGTCCTCTGCTTTAGGCTTTCACTCAGCGTCAATTTCACAAGGCAAGTTTGGCTCAACGACTCCAGCCAAGTCAAGTGTCTTCACCCATCACCATGTCCTTCTATGAGCTACGCGTTTTGCCTTGCTGTCCACTTTCCTCTCCACCAACGATGAGACACCCTCACGGGGGCCTTGCTTAACTCGCAGTGCGAGTTTTGCTGGGTACTTCCCGTACGATCTCCTGGACGATGGGTCAGAATCCGTTTCATGCCGGATCGAGCGATGATTCGCCACGCAAGGGGTGCTTCAACTGCCCCACGTTGGCCACTTTAGTAGGTGCTTCTATTGGCTGGTTTCATGGTGGTATTATAGTTCGTTCTATTTTCCTGGGGATGCGCCCCATGCGGAAAGCCGCGAAGCAAGGACAATACGATCCACGGGTCCACTGGAGAATGTGTTTGGAGCTGCGACGGGGCCCAGGTCCAGAGGGTTCCCCCAACTTTTGCCGAGCCGTTTGAAGGTCCTTGTATTCAGGTATGAGGAAGGCCTTTTTGGTTTAGTGTCGCCCGCGAAAGCGTCGGGATGGTCGCGAAAGTTAAAGGTCTCGCGAAAGTGTGTGTAATGGTTTGCTAAAAGGAAGATGGATGGTTGACCCTTGTGTATTTGCCGGCGGCGCGCAGAATGCACACAGACCAAATTTGGTTGGAAAGCGCGGCCTTGCCTCAAAGCAAATACGTCGCTGAGGCAACCAAGCAGCCTGTTGGAGTTTTGAAGCTTTCGGGTCCCAAATGGAGCGCAACTTCCCGCAAGATTTTCGGCAATGCTTGGCGTATTTCAGATCTGCAAAAGTTGCACGAAAGTCGGCGGACCTCCCCAGTTTCAACACCGTAAATGGCGGTTGTCTGATGTTCCCGGAAACGCAATCTTTGCGGAAAAAAACACTTTTGCGGCCTCCATCGCGGAGCTTTCGCGGCGCTATTGTCACAACATTAATCACAATGGTAGCACGCGAAGTACAATTCCGAGATCCCGAAATGTTCATTGCAACAGCAGTACACGAAGTAAACTTTGGCAGTCTCAGCTCGAAAGTCGCAACTTTTCAGCTCCAAAGTAGTACAAGAAACGCATTTCTGCAGCCCCGACGCGCAGTCAACTACACACGGCTGGGCTTTTCTGAAAGCCGAACTCTTTCGTCCAGCGACCCAAATCCAGCGATTGGGATTAGCATTATTCCATTCGGCCAACAATGCTGACATGATGGATCCATTATAGTAGATCGAATTTGAGCTTACCGTGACGAACAAGATTCAAAGACAAATTGCATCACGCTGACCATGCAGCTGGACGAGTGAGTAGAAACAATTCAGCGTCTGTATACCAATGCGACAAGTCAGGTCAAGCCGACTGTTAAGAGAATTCTGTGGGAGCACGAAGTCCGGGGCCAGGGGCTAAAACCATCAAGACCATAGTCGGATAAGGAAAGGCGCAGCTGAAATTACAGTACATGACGCGGCGTTGCATTTAAACTTAGATTCCCACATGAGTCCACAAACAAAAAACCGAATTGTTTTGGAGGTACCCCCTCTTATGTGACTGCAGTTGGGTCGCCGTGGAATCTTGTGGTTTGGTATTGTCTTAGCATTTACCCAAGCAAATGTAGAAATGGGGGCTTGGTGGGTGGGGAAATATGTATTAATGGAGTGCGTTTCTCTATCAGGGAACGGAGACCGATGCTGAAACGTGGTATTTAGCAGCCCAATGACTGTCCATGTTTGGAACCACGCAAGTAGCAAGTTTACGCAAGTGTGTGGATTCAGCGTGTCTCAGCATTAAAACCTTCAAATGGGCACGTTAAAGTTCAAACCCAGCGAAACCTGTACAGCGCGGCATGTGGGGATGGTGGAGGCTACCGCCTGGGAAAAAAACCCTATGGACAAGACGGGGAGAGAGCCTGGGAGGTAAACCAATAGTTCCTGGCAGGTAGACGCACCCCCTTTCCGATGTCTCAGGTGCTAAGGGGTGTTACTGTGAGCCACGCATTTGCCCAAACTTGCTTTGTATCGCTTACGCTCCGGCGAAACATGGATAAACCTGGCTAGCAACTGGGGCTTGATTTCCAGGGACAAGTGTCCTCAATTACAAATTGGCATGTCTTTTGCCCCTCTGAGGACTTGTCGAAACTTTCAAGAGTCAAAACCTGGACTATTGGCTCACATTTGTGCTTGAAGATGATCACTCCACCTGGTTTGAACAAGTTATGCAAAATTATATCAATAGCCGGCGGCCCTTCCTGAATCCATTCAATATGATCCGGTCAGCTCCGCGCACGCAGGAGCTGAGGCAGGCCAGGATTGAGGCCGTGAGCCTTTCCGGCTTGGGCGCCATGCAGCTTCAGCAAGCAGAGCTACTGGAGCAAGGCCAGACCAGCACGCGGAGGGAAAGGGGGGGTTGAGGTTTGGAGCGCATTCCCCCCTCAGAAAGACAGCAGGGCCTCGAGCCCCACCAATGCAATCAAAGGAGGCAAAGAAACGTGTGGAGTCTGCCTGAGGGGCCATTGAGCAAATCGGTACCCTTTGCGCCGTGCTTCCCCGACCGCAATATTGGGCATTCAGTCATTGCCAGACTTCTGAGGCTAGTGTTCCACGCAAGCAAGCAAACAGAGACAGGCAGGCAGGCAGGCAGGCAGGCAGACACACAGAGACAGAGACGCACAGACAAACAGACAAACCAACACACCAAACAACCAACCAACCAACCAACCAGCCAGCCAGCCAGCCAGCCAAGCAAGCAAGGAAGCAAGCAAGCAAGCAACCAAGCAAGCAACCAAGCAACCGAGCCACCAAGCGACCAAGCGACCAAGCGACCAAGCAACCAAGCAACCAAGCAACCAAGCAACCAACGAACCAACCAACCAACCAACCAACCAACCAGCCAGCCAGCCAGTCGGCCAGCCAGCCAGCCAGCCAGCCAGCCAACCAAGCACACATAAGCACACGCAAGCACACAAACAAAGACTCAAGCCAACAAACGAGCCAACAGGACAACAAACCAACCAACCCACCAACTTGACAAAACAAACAAACAAACAAACAAACAAACAAACAAGCAAACAAGCAAACAAACAATGAGACAGACAGACAGACAGACAGACAGACAGACAGACAGACAGACAGACAGACAGACAGACGACCAGGGACAGATCCGACCCGATTCGAGTCCGAAACCGGGACCCGACCGACGCCGGACCCCCCCTGATCCGGACCCGCTCGATTGCGATTCGAAATTCCGATGTCCGACCGATCCGCCGGGACCGACCGGACCGAACCGACCGAACCGGGATCCGATACCGACAACCGATTTCTCCGACCTGATACCGACCGACACACACCACACAACACTCAAACACACAGCAAAGGCCAAACAAGACACACACAGGCCCACCCACCCGCACACACCCAACCAACCCACGCAAACACACACACAAACACACAAACACACAAACACACAAACACACAAACACACAAACACACAAACACAAACACACAATCACAAACACACAAACACACAAACACACAAACACACAAACACACACACACAAACACACAAACACACAAACACACAAACACACAAACACACAAACACACAAACACGCAAACACGCAAACACGCAAACACGCAAACACGCAAACACGCAAACACGCACACACGCAAACACGCAAACACGCAAACACGCAAACACACAAACACACAAACACACAAACACACAAACACACAAACACACAAACACACACAGACACACACACGCGCGCGCGCAAACATACACAAACAATCACAAGCATACAAAGACACACACACACACGCACAAAGACACACACAAACAAACAAAGCCAAGCACACACACACACACTAACAAACACACACACGCGGGCACACACAGACACACACACAAACACATACAAACAAAGTCAAACAACACACAGACACAGACACACTGACACACTGACACACTGATACACTGACACACTGACACACTGACACACTGACACACTGACACTGACACACTGACACACTGACACACTGACACACTGACACACTGACACACTGACACACTGACGCACTGACGCACTGACGCACTGAAGCACTGACGCACTGACGCACTGACGCACTGACGCACTGACGCACTGACGCACACGCACACACACACACACGCAAACACAGACACACACACACAGACACACCCATACACAGACACACAAGACCCACACAGACACACACAGACACACACACACACAGACACACACACACAGACACACACACACAAACCACGCACCGCACAAACACAACACACGCAAGACTCTCACACACACACACACACAATACACACAAAACACACACAACACACAGCACGCGCAAGACTCACACACACACAACACACAGAACGCACACACACACACACAGCATATAGACACACAGCACACACACAAACAACGCACACACATTCAAACACACGCGCAGGCACACACACACACAACACACACACACAACACACACACACACACGCGCGCGCGCAAACATACACAAACAAACACAAACATACAAAGACACACACACACACGCAAAGACACACACACAAACAAACAAAGCCAAGCACACACACACACACTAACAAACACACACACACACACGGGCACACACAGACACACACACACAAACACACACAAACAAAGTCAAACAACACACAGACACACACACAGACACACTCACACACTGTCACACTGACACACTGACACACTGACACACTGACACACTGACACACTGACACACTGACACACTGACACACTGACGCACTGACGCACTGACGCACTGACACACACAAAAACACACAAACACACACACACACAAACACACACAAACACAAACACAAACACAAACACAAACACACACAAACACACACAAACACACACAAACACACACAAGCACACACAAACACACACAAACACACACAAACACACACAAACACACACAAACACACACAAACACACACAAACACACACAAACACACACAAACACACACAAACACACACAAACACACACAAACACACAAACACACACAAACACACACAAACACACACAAACACACACACAAACACACACAAACACACACAAAACACACACAAAAACACACAAACACACAAACACACAAACACACAAACACACAAACACACAAACACACAAACACACAAACACACAAACACACAAACACACAAACACACAAACACACAAACACACAAACACACAAACACACAAACACTCAAACACGCAAACACGCAAACACGCAACCACGCAACCACGCAACCACGCAAACACACAAACACACAAACACACAAACACACAAACACACAAACACACAAACACACAAAACACACAAACACACAAACACACAAACACACAAACACACAAACACACAAACACACAAACACACAAACACACAAACACACAAACACACGCGCGCGCGAAACATCCACAACCAATCCTAAGATACAACGTGACACACACACACACCCAAAGACCACAAAACAAACAAAGCCAATAGGCAAACACAACAAAACAACCACACGCAACACACGGGCGCACACAGCCACAAGAAACCCATACAAACAAAGTCAAAAAAACACAGACACAGACCACTGGCCGCTAGCGCTCCCGTAGTGCCACTGACACCACTGACACACTTGCACCTGACACACTGACACACTGACACACTGACACACTGACACACTGACACACTGACACACTGACGCACTGACGCACTGACGCACTGACGCACTGACGCACTGACGCACTGACGCACTGACGCACTGACGCACTGACGCACTGACGCACTGCACCCATACACAGACACACAAGACCCACACAGACACACACAGACACACACACACAGACACACACACACACAGACACACACACACACACACAAACCACGCACCGCACACACACAACACACGCAAGACTCACACACACACAACACTCACACAAAACACACACAACACACAGCACACCCAACACACAACACACACACAACACACAGAACGCACACACACACACAGCATATACACACACAGCACACACACACACAAACAACGCACACACATTCAAACACACGCGCAGGCACACACACACAACACACACACACGCGCGCGCAAACATACACAAACAAACACAAACATACAAAGACACACACACACACACGCAAAGACACATGCACAAACAAACAAAGCCAAGCACACACACACACTAACAAACACACACACGCACGGGCACACACAGACACACACACAAACACATACAAACAAAGTCAAACAACACACAGACACACACACAGACACACTCACACACTGACACACTGACACACTGACACACTGACACACTGACACACTGACACACTGACACACTGACACACTGACACACTGACACACTGACGCACTGACGCACTGACGCACTGACGCACTGATGCACTGACGCACTGACGCACTGACGCACTGACACACACGCACACACACACACGCAAACACAGACACACACACACAGACACACCCATACACAGACACACAAAGACCCACACAGACACACACAGACACACACAAACCACGCACCGCACACACACAACACAGGCAAGACACACACACACAACACACACACAACACACACACACAACACACAGCACACGCAACACACAACACACACACACCATACACACAGCATATATACACACACAGCACACACACAAACAACGCACACACATTCAAACACACGCGCAGGCACACACACAACACACACACACAACACACACGCACAACACACACGCACACACACACACACACAAACACGCAGTCAAGCACACACGCACACACACACAGACACCTACAGTGTGTTTGTGTGTGTGCTTGTGTGCTTTTTGCAGGCGGGCACATTCATGAACGTGCGGCGAAGCTGGGGGGGGGGTCAGCCCTAAATTGTAGTTTGAAACGTGCTCCCGTGAACCGCAAGCGCAAGGATTCTTTCGCTTCAAGCGCAGTCAAGTTCGCCAGTTCGCCAGCTAGTTAGCTTGGCTAGGCAGATCGCTAGTTCGTTACCCAACTTCCTGAAACTTGTTAGCTAGTTGGAGAGCGAGCTACCTCATTGATTAGCTAGTGAGCTGGTTAGGTAGCTATGCAGGCTAGTTATAGTTAGCCCAGCTAGCTCAGAGAACTAGCCAGCTAGCGCCAGCTCGAACGCTCGCTCGCTGGTTAGATGGTTGTCTCAGTTAGCTATTTTGCGAGTTAGCAGCTAATCGGCTAGATACGCTAGGTATAGATTGCTACTTAGCTACTGCTTCTTGGATAGTGAGCTAGTTAGTTAGCTATGCCGTGAAGAAAGAAAAAACCTGACAGGGTCAACCCTGCGAAAGCCCACAGAGGGTTCACCATTTGATGGCTGGGAAGGGTTCACTGTTTTGCGGTTGCTAGCGGGCCCGTTTCCAACACTGCTCCGAACATGCTGCCGTCAATCGCCGTGACTGAGGTTTTTTTCGTACATGCGGAATGGCGAATTCATGCACAGGGCCGTTTTCTAGCTTTGTTTTGACGCGCAGAGAAAATATTCCTCAAAGAAAGCACAGCTCAATCAGTTTCAATCCTGCGGAAGTTCTTCTAAACGTTCTTAGATTCATGGACATTTCAGAGGCATTGCAAAACATGGCGCGAAGCTGCAGAAAGTTTGCTGCCCCCGTGCCATACGTGGTGCGCGCGGGCGGCCCAATCCACAGATGGTAAACACTTGAAGGGTCAAGGCAGAACTCACACGCGAACCCACAGCAAAAGAAGCCCCAGGCTTCCAGAGAGATAGCTCCCAATCAGATTTGCGGCCCAACGAGTCGAAGTATATATTGTATACGTATAACTATTTACAGATACAGCAGTGATGTTGCGGTTTCACTACCGTTAGGTGCATGCGGGCTGATGAAGACCATCCTAACTCATGATGTTCATAATCTGCACGCAACTTTGGCGGTAGCTACATGAATCATGAAGCGGGCATTGGGGTGTAGAACCTGGGTTTGCAACGAGGAGTTACCTTCCATGGGTTGTTGAGGGGTAGATGATGTCTGGAACGCAAGGGACGTTTGTTGGGCGAGTGCGCATACAGGTCTGGACATCATGACTGACGTGCCGCGAATCACGTTTGCCTTCAATCAGAACAAGATTGTGCAGGACAGACAGCTGGGCTGATTGGGCCGGAGCCATTGTCAATTTGGCAGGCTGTTCGGACTCCAGAAACTGGTCCGCACAGGTCCCCTCATGTCCCCTCATGTCGGATAGATTCGCACCCTGCCAGACAACCAGAATAGGTTTTGTCCATGCAAAGCTTGAGTCACGGGTACACTGCAGGCATGCCATTTCACTTGCTCGTTTCCTGCGGGTATCGCCTATAATGTTTTGACCGCATCATAGTTCTGCTTCTGCTACGCTTCGCTGCAACCCGCGGTTTTCCCCCAAATGCTTTGCCATTGCAAGCGTGTACCTGAACATTACTTGCTACTCATCTATGAAGGTGGACAGTGCTGCTATGAAGCGAATCGACGCTCCCGCCCTGGTTGGATCTACCGTTGAGAAGGCGACAATCCTATCATTTCTGCTGAACCTTTTTACTTCACTCAAACAGTAGTGAGAGAGGCCCTGGAGTCTGTTTTGCAGTTATGCCTCATGCGTGAGACCAGCTGCACGCAAATCTGTGGCAGTGCGCTTATAAACAAAATTTTGACTGTTTGCCTGCCTGCTTCGAGAATAATTGGACCGAGCTATGGCGGATTTCCAAAGAGTGGCCTTACATGTTGCTTGAACTGAAGAATTCTGGTACAAGCGGATGTTTGTTCCGGCAGGACGTCCAGAATGGGGACGCCGATGTGGGCTTTGTCCGGACGGATTTGATCGACAGGAACGTGCATAATAATCTGACCAGATGGGAGTATTTCAAAGCAGCTCACTTGTTGTGCGTAATTATGTGTTTGTTTGTGTGTTTGTGTGTATATTTGTTGGTTTGTGTGTTTGTTTGCCTGTCCGCTTGCGTGCTTGTTGGGTTGGTGTGTTGGATGTATGTCTTTCTTGCTTTCTTTCTTTCTTTCTTTATTTCTTTCTTTATTTCTTTCTTTCTTTCTTTCTTTCTTTCTTTCTGTCTTTTTTTGATTGCTCGCTTGTTTGCTTGATTGCTTTCTTGCTGATTTGCTTGCTTGCTTGCTTGCTGGCTGGCTGGCTGGCTGGCTTGCTTGCTTGCTTGCTTGCTTGCTTGCTTGCTTGCTTGCTTGCTAGCGTGTTTGCTTGTTTGCTTGCTTGCTTGCTTGCTTGTTTGTGTGTGAGCGGGCGGGCGGATGGATTTTGCTTGATTTGTTTGAGGCGCTAGGCAGTCACTCTTTTGCCTAGTCACCGCAGGTAATTGGCGAGAAGACGGATGGCTCGAGCTTCCCCTTCGCTCGCTCAACTGATTTTACTCCTGAGTGGCCCATTGGAGCACTCACACATGTTCCAGATGAGATCAGAGAGCAGGCAGCTAGTCTGCATTTGCCTGTCGTCAACCTTTTGTGGTGAACACTTGTGTTATAAGTAAGAACAAGCAGACTGAACGATAAAGTTAATTGACAGAAGACCAACCGTCATTGCAGCCGACGTGACATGAATTCCCGAAAGCATCGCCAAGGTCTTCTGCTCGGAGCCCTTGGACCAACTTGCATTGGCATTTCGCGTGCATCTGCCCACGTAGGCAAAATAGGGATAACGCATCATAGAACTGTGCGTGTGTTTGAAACTTTCGGAGTGGTTTGCAGACTGGCTACATGGTAGCTATGAGATTTGCACCGCTGCTGTAAGCTTCTATCGCTTAGAAGGTCAGGCATGGAGTTTTCAATACAAAAATCCTGCATCCACGCCGCGAAGGCTTGAGGCACATTTCGTGAAACTGTTTGCACCTTTCCGGCGGGCCACTGCCGCTGCTCATGTTGAGCTTCCCGTTTTAGTCTGCAGCTGCCAAATGTGCTGAAAGTTGCGATTTTGGAGCTAGAGCTGCCAAAGTGCATGTAATGTCATGTATCAGAGTTAAGCAACTCACAAGCCGCAAGCCGGCAATGATCGGCAGAGTTACAAAGCTCGAGGTAGCAAACCCGCTTGCAACCGGCTTGCGTAGGCATCCGCGTAGGTATACGGAAGACGCAAATGCAGGCACCCCTTGCAGCCGCGGAGGTTTTTCGCATTCGCTCGCGTAGGCGCGCGTGCGGTGTATAGGCAGGCCTCGAGCGCTCCAAAAAACACTGCCCAGAGCCACTTGCTCAGACCAACTTGCGCAGGCAACTTGCCCAGAGCAGTTTGCACAGAGTCAGTTTCCCAAAGCCATTGCGCAGAGTCGGCTTGCGCAGAGCCATCTGCACAGAGCCACTTGCACAGAACCACGTGCACTGACCAACTTGCACAGACCAACTTGCCCAGATCCGCTTGCGCAGAGTCAGTCGCACACTGCTATCTGCACAGAGCTAACCTGCGCAGAGCTACTTGCACAGAGCCATCGGCGAGTGCCTACTTGCGCAGAGCAACTTGTCCAGAGCCATTTGTGCAGAGGCAGCTCCACAGAGCCATCTGTAGTTTGGGTATAGTCAGGGCACGATAGTCTGAGAGTCTGGGATCGGCGTGGCCGATGTGAAACACTGAGGACTTGTGAACTTTTCAACCTGCCGGCGCGATCAGTGTGGTCGATGTCAAAAAAAATAAGATGCCCGCGCGGCCCTCTGCGGGGATCGGCGGTCGATGTTGAAAAAACTGATGACTTTTCGCGGTTCTCCGGTCTTCGGATCGGCCCTATGCGGGGGTCGTGCCAGTCGAATCGCTCTCGCTGCGGCCCCGTGCAAAAGTACCACGCGAGGCGCTTTCCCACAGCGTGGGCTGGACAATTCAGTGCAAAAGGTACGCGATGTGCATTGCTGCGGAAAGCCGCAACTTGCACAAAGAAGCTCGCCTGGAGCCCTCGCGGGGAGTGACGTGCAGACTTGGACAGATGTATTTGCGCAGAGCACTCGCGCCAAGGCACTTGCGTAGAGTAACTTGCGCAGCGTTGCAACCCTTATGAACGAAACATTCTCGCGTGGCTACGGTTGGTGCGCTACACTCCCGCCTGCGCATCAACTTCGACAACGACGACCGGGTGTGTGTGGAGGTTGCGGCCCAAGCTAGATGGCGGGTGACCACCAGCGCGTCCAGCGACCTCCAGCTTGCATGGACCCTTCTGCGTAGGCTGTGCGGTGCGTTGCCGCCACCGCACCCTCAAACATTCCATGGCTCCCCTGACAGCACCACGTCCCATTGTTCGTACGGTCGCGCATCATAGTGTAAGGTCTGGCCTGCTCTCTTCAGGCGAGTCGGTTCGAGCTGTTTGTGCCAATGTAGCTGAAGAGCAAGCGCTAAGCAAAACATTTGATAAGGGAAACCATGCCAACCGAACGGACCAAGACAAAAAACCACCTTGGACGGTTCGGCTGGAAGATCCCTGCGCGCACCGACCTACCGCCCGCGTGCAGCCAGTGAGAAGGGAAGCAGCTGTGCTCTGCTGTTTGCAGCTTTGGTCAGTCTGAGCAGTTCGTTGTTGTGTTTAACACTTGTTGAGAATAAATACATCAAGAACACATCTTGATACTTGCATCGACTGTTTTGGAAAGCAGGCCAAACGAGGAGCTCAATTTACGGGAGATCATCCGTCACTGCAACGGACATGGCATTAACTTTTTGTGCCGCTTGCCATTGTCTCGCAAAAGAATTTTTGCCCCGACCCATCCTTCTTTTTTTTTACCACCACTGCACGCTCCACGCATGCCAGATTTAGGATGTCTCCGGACTGAATGTCCGCCCCTTATCAGAGATGCTTTGTTTAGCATGAGCTTTGGCACAAGCTTTGAGACTTTCGTCAGGAGTGTTGGTAGAATCAGCTCGAGCCTGGCCAAAAAACAGCAGGTGATGATCCCTCCCACTGGGGATCAGTCCAGTGAAAAAGGGTACGCCGCACTGTGCTGGCTGCAGACAAGCTGCTACTGCGTCACAAACTGTCGGAATCTCTTAGAGCTGTTGCGCTGCGATAGAGCTGCGCTAAAGTCTACGCTATACCAAGTTCTTAGACAGACTATTTGACACCGTGACTTTGCCGAAGATGCTATGCTTCTGCAAGGTGTTATCGCAAGTTATGAGACTTTGATATAATTTGGGAGGTGCAGCTTCTGTTCATGCAGACCTACCAAAGAGAAGGACTAGAACTATTCAGTTCGACTCCCCTAGCTTTGCTGCAAATTAGCAGCTTGAAACAGCTTGCAAACGTATCAACACTCAGCACGCTGACATTCCATAAGTACGACCCCTGAGTTACTGCGCGAACCCGGCCGTTTCCAGGGTCAGTACTGAGGTTGGCAGAGCGTTGATGTCCTTAGATCGCTTCTCCTCGGATCCGGCTCTGTCTGAGCCCGCTCTCCAGGGGAACTTTGCAAGCTGGACCTCGCCGAACAACTACTTCGGCCTGCTGGAGATATTGCAAAGGGTGCGGTATTTTGACCCAAACCAGGGCAAGTGCTTGAGGAGCTCCGACGAGTATACCGCCATCTATTGCCCTCCTGGCTATGTCAAGAAAGCGCGGGACCAGGTGTTTTGCCCAGACTGCAAGGAGGGCTACTCGTGCCTGTGCTCTCCCTGTGCCAAGCTCAGGGATCCTGAGTTTGTGCTCCAAGCCGAGCTGCTCAGCACGAGCTGGAAGGGCAACGTTGACGTTGAGAAATTGGAGAACAGAACATTTCTCGCAGATAGCTGCCAGCGCATGGCAACGTGTGTCCGTGTGATTGCTGGCCAAAAGCTGAAGCTCGTTCTGCTGGACCAGATCGGCGCCGACTCACGGGCCAAGATCAATGCGCCGCTTGTGGACACCGTGCGTTTCAGAATGACCAACACGGAGCTGCCGAAGGATGCAACTGATGCTTAACTGCACTTAAACAACCGCATGCATGAAGTGACCAGTGTGTCAGTCGCCCCTGTCTCGTCCAACACTTCTACCTGTGATAGTTAACTCACCGTCACCTTTTCTTCTTGGTGCTATTGACTAGCCAAATGATTGTCTCCGCCTCCTGCTACCCGAAGCTTGTCCACTTCAACATGCCCAAAGTGCTCAAACAGGCACGCAGGCGAACGACTTCTGCCTGGAAAGTCATTTCCCAGAAATGGCCACTGTTCGGCCAAGGCGCTTCTTTTCGCGGGCCGTCTTGGTTGAGAAGGGGCTTCAGATGCGCTTCTTTGTAGTACGTAAGGTCGCACAAGATATGCCGCCATAAACAAAAGATATTGTACCGCAAGTCAGAACCCGGGCTCAATAACAAATCAATGCAGCAGCAAGGGTTGGTACATCCTTTGCACATCATAGCGTGGTACACATGCACATTGATCACTGAGATTTTGGAGAAGAAGTATTCATTGCAAGAGTACATCTAGGGTTCAAGTGGACCAAAAGACCTTCCAAGCCAAGAATTTCCTGAAAGCCTTAAGGATTCAGCCTCACAGGTATTGCCATATTGCATGTCACCCACCGTGTCACCTGTGACTTTTCCGGCTGAGGTGCAGACTGCGTTTGTTGAGGGCCTCAGCACAGAGCAGTACATCTTTGACACCGTGGTTCAGGGCAGCGGCACTCAAGTCATCCAAATCGACGCACGGCAACAGACAGCGGCGCACTGTCTATATATATATATGTATATATATATATATATATATGTATTTGTTGCATACATATCTATTGTTGTGTGATGCCGTGTAATGCCTTGACTGGGCTGCACTGTTGCATCATGCGTGCCACTCGGGATTGTAGACACCAACGTGTTTGTTTGCACACACATTGACGTGTTGTACACGTACAGACACATACATTACGCATTCACTAGACAGTGGACAGGTGACTGAAGGCTTTTGCCGAGGCTTGAAGCACATGGTGCAGGCTTGGGATAGAGGTACATCTTTTAGCATTTGGATCAGGAGCCACCAAGCTAGTACTGCGGCGCTTCAAAAAGTGAACAAGGCATATATCATGGAGGGGTCCAGGCAGCTTGTTTAAAGTCCAAGAGTACCGAGAGTACCAAGAGTACCAAGAGTACCAAGAGTACCAAGAGTACCAAGAGTACCAAGAGTACCAAGAGTACCAAGAGTACCAAGAGTACCAAGAGTACCAAGAGTACCAAGAGTACCAAGAGTACCAAGAGTACCAAGAGTACCAAGAGTACCAAGAGGCACAGAAAAGCTGATGGTCCTGATGGTAATTGATGCCCGTGTGCCATCGGGGTGTGAGCCCACGGCCATAGCTCAAGAGCCCATTTCAGCTGTATTTGAAATGGCAGATCAGGGAAACGCGCCTTGTCTTCGTGTTGCCTTTTTTCTCAAATCAGCACCTAGGTCATCCTTTCCAGCCTGTGAGGAGGGTGGCAGAGCGGCTAACCCGTTTGTCAGACATGCGGAATTGAGCGTGTCTTTCTTTGCAGTGTTCGCTTTTAGCCTTTCCTGCAGTGTCTACTTTGTGCAAATTTATGGTTTCGCGAGATCGAATTGGCGATCCCGTACCGGTCGCAGTTTATTATGTTTTGTTTGAAGGGGAGACGCATGCCATACAAAAAAGAAGAGGCAACGCAGCACCCCTGGCTGTGCAAGCAAGGACATCAATGGAGCTCCCGCTGCTATGTCGCCGGTGATCTTTGAGGTTGAGGATCCGCCTCTTCAAGAGATATCTTGTCCCGCCACTTGGCCGGCAATACGTATGATGAGTTGATGTATTTAGTCATAAGGTTGCTGTCCGTACGCTTTCACAGGGAATGATGGATTGCAACAACGATATCCTAGAATTCAGTCATTAGTCATAACGCGCGAATGTCTTTGCGCTGTGACTTACAGCACGCAACGTTCGCCATCGAGCTTCAAGGGTTGCGCCCCCAAAAGGCCCAGGGATTCCCTTAGCGTTTATACAGCTGCCTTCTGAGAAAGAAAAGCGGGTCAACGTGTGTCAACGTCTTTTCCCGGTGGCTCTCAGTGGATCGAATTTCTGGTTGACGGCAAATTAATGCGATCCGCGAGCCGCATGTCTGCCCCCGAACCCCCAGGTGTCTAGGGAAAAGAGTTGCGCTCAACTCCCAAGAGGAAACACTTTTGAGAAGGAACTCTGGCAGCCAGTATGGCTCCACAACAATGACCTGTTGCTTGATGCGGTCGCCATGAAACATTTAATCCAAACGCTGACTCGCTGACCGCCAAAAACTCATCCGAGCCCCTTAGAAGCAACAGAAGATAGCCACCAAACACGCCAGTAATTGCCAGTAGAGGAATTGTCATAAAGTATCCTGTGAGGGTTCAGACATCCAACTTCTCTTGCACAATTTCCATATGTTCATGCTTTCAAAGCAAATTGTTGGCTTTCTCAACCAAGAGTTTGCTGTCGTCTTTAGCCGTTGCACAGGTATAGGACGGTTGGATCCGGTCCGGCACCTGCGGTAGGAACGGGCCACATGCATGTATCCAGCACTTCAGTCTGCAAGGCCGAGAGCCCCCCGGGCAGCAAGCAGCCCACACACGTTGACACAAAAAAGGAAACAACAGCTTGGTTGGCGAGCCGCTCACTGGAAAATCAGAACAAGCCGTTTCGCGCAAACAATTTTTGAGTTGTGTGTGCGTGTGTGTATGTCTTCATGGGCGCTTGGGTGTTTGTTCATCATTTGATCCATGTCACACACTGCTAAAGAAAAGAAGCTCAGGTGATGTCCCCAACGGCATGCGGTGCTCTTTTTGGTGCTCGCACCACCCCGCAGCCCTCGCACCACCCTGCAGCCCTCGCAGAACCTCGTGGAACCCTCGTGGAACCCTTGTGGAACCCTCGTGGAACCCTCGTGGAACCCTCGTGGAACCTTACCTCAGGGCCGCCCCGGACCACCCCGGAGCCTATCTGGTCTGAGACCCCAAAGCTTTCCGCTGTTGGGGAAAAACAGTTCAATCCATTTGTCAGTGTGTTTGAGCCCGATGGTGGTACTGAGTTTATAGATCATCAAAAATTTCACATGCTCGGCTGGACAGAGCCCGCCGAGCATCCCTGACATCAGCAGCCCCACTTCTCAGACCCAAATACTGGCACGAGCAGGGCTAAGCTTTTGCCACACAAGAGCAGCACAGCATCAGAGCTATTTGCTGGAGGGAGGCCCCAACATGCTCTTCTTGGATTTGCTGAAGTTATGGTGATCTCACACCGGGTCAACCGATTTGGTCAAGCGATCTTTCCAGTGAATGTCGTTGGACTCAGGTTGGTCACGAGGCCAGTGAGGAGGGCGCATGTATTGTGTGCCCTCCTGGCACTGTGTCTCTTGGCGGCACGGCGAAATGCCGTCCCTGCGACCCGGGAACGATGCAAGCAATGGCCGGCCAAGGCAACTGTGAGGCCCACGCGTTGGGGCCAGGAAGGGGTGGGGCGTGTGCCACAGGGGCAAATACTCAGTGCGGGTGTTCCAACATGTTAACATGTGCCATCGCGCTTCAGAAGGGCAAATTGCAAGTCCGGGTGAACAATCGTCAATGCTTCTGCAATACACGCGCATTGAGTGATTAAAGGCAACTATCATGGTATAGCCACACGTGCCTATTAGTCACAACTCAATCTGGTACAGCTGGCTTCAGCTGGCACAGTCAGGTTTCATTGAATGCGGGAACGGGAATGTGACAGGGTTGATTTCCTATTGAACTTCCTGACTGCCTTGCTGCTACGTTTTTTCAAGCTGATTCTCAGCTCACTTATTGCGGTAATTGTTGTAGTTAGTTATGCGTAATGCCCAGTTGCGTCAAGTTGGGTTGGTCGTTCTTGCCACTTGCAGTTGCTTACCTGCACACGGATTCACACAACGCATGCTTCAAGCCCGCCTAACTCAGTCGATTCGGGAAATTCGGGGTTTGCTGGATTGCAAGACACATGAAATAAATTGGGTGCTGTCCGGAGCAGCGAATATCGGTCCCGTTGAAAATTACACAAACGGGGCACCGCCAAAACACCACCGCAAACACAACCGGGACACCACTAGCGCCACTGGAACACCAAAACCACAAGCAAGACACCGGACACCACGAAGACACCGCTGGAACGGCACCAAAAACACTGGGGCCACACCGGGACAACACCGAAACACAACGACTCGGAACACCACCGACGGGACACCATCAAAAAGACGACCGGCACACCACCAAAACACCACCATAAATGGACGCTGTTGGGAAACAACCCTGTGAGACAACAGCTCCCAGTTTCGAATGAAAGCAGGCTTCCCTTTCGGGATCCGGTTTCAAAACGAAGCTCCCAACGGTTTTTACCAAACTGCAAGGACTCACGCACGCGTTTCACGGTGCCGAAAGTGAAGGTCTTTCAAAGAGGAAGGAGAAAACAAGGAAAGAAAGATGGGATGAGAGCCTCAAGGAGAAGCGGAACGTGGGCCCCACGCAAGTTGTTCGGCGACAAAGAGCGGAGAGGGAGGCAACTAAGTCCGATGAACCCAAGAACCTGGAGTCACTGGACCGTCATGGCAAAAATCTGCCGCTTGAAGGTCCAACCAATCAGCCAGTCAGTCAAACAGCCGGCCAGCCAACCAACCAACCCAACCCAACCCAGCCCAACCCAACCCAACCCAACCCAACCCAACCCAACCCAACCCAACCAAACCAAACCAACCAACTCAGCAACCCACCATCCAACCATGGCTTCAAGGACTACGCGGAGCTCGAGGAAGGAAAACCAACCTGAATCAACTGATTTTCACAGCAAATACTTGCATGGGCCAGATCCGGCAAAGCCAACTCACCATAACCATGGAAGAATGTCACTTTGCCCGCTGTATTCCTGTGGCCGGCACAGATCGAGGGGACCCGCCCGTGTGCCAGGCCTGCAGCGTGGGGGAGTTTCAGCCCTCCAGCAACGCGGTGGGCTGCCTGCCCTGCGCCCGCGGCACCTCTAGCCGTGGCAAGACAGGATCCCGTGACTGCAGCAGCCCGGCGAAGAAGGCCGTTTTTTTACGCAGATATGGAGAGATTGGAAGGGGATGAGATGACTGCTGGATGTGTCTCCCACTTGTCTCCCCACTGGTTTCCCGAACTTGTCTCCCTGCTGGTGCTTGGCGATGCTTGGTGATTCGGACCTTGTCTCCTGACTTGTCTTTGACTTGTCTCTCCACTTGTCTGACCACTTGTTGTCTTGCTTGCGCTTACCGACTCGGATCTTGTCACGTCTTGTCTCCTCACGTGAAAAGGCCCCTGGAGATCTTCTCCAAATGGGACTGTTGTGACTGTTGTCTCTGTGTCCAGCGAAACTCATGTGGCGTGAACCATGCGACGCGTGCATTGCGCAGCTACAACGGATGGCGAGGCGTTGCTGATTAAACCATGCCGGACCATCATTCATGTTTTTTCAACAGTCGAATTGCGTGCAGTGACTGTGCTAGTCATCCCCGGAACATCAAGCATGCTACAACAAATGTCTACGAACTTCGGCTGAGTTGAGGTGATAGCTTTTGGGGCTGATTGCACACACTAGCAAGCATATGGTTGCTTTCTTAAAATCCGACACTTGCATGTCGGTTATTATCCGGCCTTACAATCACGAGTATTTGGTATTAGCATATCAAAATATGCCTTGCCCAACGCAGCTCCTCATGCTACACATTCCCATGTGTGAAGAGTAACGCTTTTGTGACACCTTGGACGCTGCCATTCAAGCTATTCTTCATGTTAGCTTGTTGCAATACTTGCTCTTGAGAAACTATGAAACTATTACAACCTGCCATATTTGTTCAACTCTTTGGTTTGCCCAGTTTTGAAACCTCGCCTGCCGTGGGCGCAGGTACCCGAAGGTACGAAAGTAGTACGCGAAGCATACTTCTCCAGCTCCAGGATGCGAAGCGTACTAGTAGTTTTAATTAGTTGCGAGCTACGCAAGTAGTTTCAAGGGTGCCACCGTGGCGTTGCGGTTCAGCCGGCCTCGCGTTTAGTTTTTTGCGGCATTGCTGCCGCTTTGCAGAAGCCCACAGTCACCCGTCAAGCAGCAAGGACTACGCAACCTGCCAGGCCTGATGTTTGGAAATCCACCCTTCTCCGGGCAACTTGAGCTGCAAAATGTGCACAGCTGCCGGTGTGCGGTGACAAACGCAGACCCTTTGCAGGTTAGCAATGATCACTAGCTTGGGGTTCGCATGGTCGACTGGCGTTTGGGGCGCTTGGGCCAGATTGCGCCTATCGCAAAGTTGTCGCGGCCATCCGAAAATTCTGCATGTGTGACGAAATCTGCACCTGGCCTTTTGCACGGAACCTTTGCCATGAAATCTGTACCTGACCTTTCGAAAGTCCTGCGCCTGCCGCGCAATCTGTGCCTGACCTCGCGAATGCGCGGCACCTCGCGAAATCTGTACTTCACCTTGCCAAAGTGCTACGCCCGTGATGTAGTAGATCTGCGGTGGACCTCGCGGCATTGTTGCAAATCGGTCCGGTTGTGCTCCCACCCGGCGTCGCGACCCGCTAACTTTCGAGCGTCTGAACCGAAACCGGCAGAGGACCCTTTTTTTTGGGACAGGTCGTTTCCCTCGTCACGCACGCGCGCATATTTGTTCTCGTGTGTGCTTATTCTTGTTCTCTTGTCTTCTGTCAGAGAGCTAGCTTTCAATCAATGTCCGTACCACAGAAGTTCCTTAAATTTCCTCTGATAACAGAACCAATAGTCAATGGGGCTTTGG